CAGCAGGAAGAACATGCCAACAGACCATTCCTACCTTCTGTACAAAAGCATTACTGTCCAGATATCTGAAAATGACTTAATCACTTATTAAAATTGCAGAATTGATGTCTCATTAGAAAAGAAAACCATTTCACCTGTTATTTGTGACCACTTATCACTTATTTGAAACTGTAAACTGGCTTGGTTTTTCACAACCTTGCAACTCAAAAGGACATTAGTAAAAGACATTATGTACATCTTACAAAAAGCTACAATACCTGTCCAGTACAGAATGGAAAAGAGCTGGTCAAGTCAAACATTTAGACACTAAAGTCCCAGCTATTTTTCTCTATTGGTGAAGATCAAAACAGCTAAAAGGAAAATAAATATTGGATTTATAGCCAGAGGGCCAAAAACACAGCTCACTTGATTGCTAATGTTGCTCTGTGTCAGCTGAATATCTTTAACTAACTAACTAGGCAAATGCTAACATGTTAATGAGTGCTAACATAGATATTGGGCTTTCAGCTTGTTGTAAAAATGTAGGAAAGCAGCGAAAATGTAGTTAATCAAGCTCTAAGGGCATAGACACACTAAGCTGGCATGAAGGAAGTAGCAGCAATGAAGGCTGACCTTTGTATCGCTTCACGTTGCCTTTGTCTGGGCCAGTGAATGGCCAACTAGCGTGCAGTAACTAGCATCCAGGGAGTGGTAACTTTTTACATGGATTTCAAATGTGCCACTCCCCTCTGAGTCTGTGCCCCAGCCTGGCCATCCCATCTAAAAATTTCTTGATCCACCCCTGGCATCTTATCCATTAACAGCCTTCTGTTCTCATCCTAGTTTGAAGGACATTTTATTTTAAGTTATTCCATTATTTGCCACTGATTATATAATCATTGCCTCCTCTGCTCCCCTGTAGTTGATCTTACATCAGCATGAGTAAGTGTGTAATGTCACAACAGCTCTAATCTAGACAAGATGTATACTCACAGCATGGAGGATGTTGTTTATTCTTCACTGCTTTCTTCCCCCTTCCTCCTCCTCGTCTTCCACATCATCTCCCCTCTTGAATTTAATGCTCCTGCATACTTCATGCCCCCTAGCATTCAGCCTCATGGACATGCATACATATGTTTTGGATTATACAATCAAGCTGTTATGCAACACTGAAAGAGACCAAGGGTGGCAACGAAAAAAAGGAAAGAGAGGATGAGGGAGAGGTGGGGTGGTACAACCCCCCCTAATCTTTCTGCTTACACATCACTCAGTGCCCCTAAAAGTAAAATGAGCTATATAATATAACTCTTTTAAGGCAGTTCCCTTCACAGTCCATACATGCACAAAGACAGAGCTCATCCTATGAGATTTTTGTTTCTATCTCTGCTACACACTGTTCTCTAGTTTTACAGACTTTGATCCTTTTATTTCTCTCATTGTCTGTCCTTGACTCATGCTAAACATGTGTATGTGTATGTGTGTGTATGCATTCCTCATATGACTTTGTTAGGAATGAATGGACCTAGGGTTTAAATTTGAATTCACCTTTATTGTGCTATAAAATCATCACTCACAGATGAGCAAACACCCACTCCTGCATTAGGCCAAATTAAAGCCTCAAGAGGCATACTTGAGTCCTCTTCACACTTATTGCAATCAACAGCTGAACAGCACCTACATCACAGTTAATCTTTCTGCTTACAAATCACTCAGTGTCCCTAAAAGTAAAATGAGCTAATTAAAATAATATCAGGACCATATGAGCTTTCTATTATTTATCAAATCTGGTCAAATGAGTGCTATAAGGTGTACATGTGTGTTATAATTATTGTTATTAATTAGGGTTTTAAAAGAACATTTTGGAAGAAAAGCACAAAATCTCTTTGTATCACAGCCAAGATCACTGAACAGCACAGCCTCATACTTATAAACTGTACTTGCTGTCTGCTAGGTTGGCTGATCTCATAAATAGTCTAAAAAAAATTTCATCCTCAGCTTAAAGATGGGGTCATATGTTAGAACGACAGTCCGGGGTTAGTTTTACGTGCCTGTGGCCCCAGGTGTGCTGTCTTCTTCCTTCATTCTATCTTTCTCTCTCTGCAACCCTAATCCTGCCTCTGCTGATAAATCACCAAAGGAAAAACAATATTATTGTCCAAGTAAATGAACTGAAAGTTCAGGACAAACTACTGCAGGCTCCAGCTCATGCTCATGGCATTTACCAAGTTGGCAGCAATGTCTCAGGTCCATATTTCTTTCAGCTCATGCTGCTCAACTTCTCTTCAGAAAAAGTTGCAACAAGTACAGTACCAGCAAAAAGTTCTAGAGGCTTTTACCATTGCAGATCTCTTAAAGAATGCATGAAATGGAGAAAGGCAGAAGGATGGAGAGTGTTTCTGTTGATGTCTGTGGAGGCGGGTTGTTGATGCTGGTTTATTGCTTTTCTGAATGAATTCTCAGGCACTGTGAATGCAAAATAATGCCTGAATTTGGTTCTCCATGATGAAGACCACTTTTCTTTTATTAGCTGCTTTTGGCCATTAAATAATGTATTTTATGCCTTCTGCTTTTACCACGTCAGAGGCAGAGGCAATCTAAATGTGATTGTACAAGTTAG